CTCCCCCCACGGGGCCAGCAGTGGCAAAATCACCGCCTTCGCTCCATAAGACGCACAGATTCCCCCCCCCCCCATTTTGGAGGGGGAAAAGTTCCTCTTATGGAGCAAAAAATACGGTAAATTAAGGAGAGAGAAGGAGAAAACAACAATACAAACATTGAAAGTCAAGGCACTGTTCTTAAGTTGAAGCATTAGTTCCCATAGGAATTAATGCAAAGCCAGTTAATCTGTATCTACCACTAGGGGGCATTTTTTAATTTTTTTCTTCTTTTGACCTAAGGTGAACTTGGGTCAAAAAAAGGGCAGGAAAAGTTTTTTCTTCTTCTTCTTTTGGTTCTTAAGTCGAGGCGCCATTCTAAAGTCAAAGGAACTTTTTGCGAATGGAGCCGTTCTTAACTTAAATCGTTCTTATGTAAGGACGTTCTCGAGTCGAGGTACCACTGTACATAAGGCAAACGCGGAGGATAAAGAAATAAAAAATTACAGACCAATCTCATTACTAAATGTGAATTACAAAATAAATGCAACCATGTTGGCAACTACATTGAAAAGAATACAGACAATATATCAATACCAGTCACGCTTCCTTCCAAAAAGGCAGATGAAAAATAATATAAGGATAATCTTAAATATTTTGGAACACTATGAAGCTCACCTGGAAAAGCAAATAGCTATGATATTCTTGGATGCAGAGAAAACTTTTGATAATCTGAATTGGAATGTTATGTTACACCAATTGGAAGTGCTACATGATGGAGACAGATTTTTTAAATTAATTAAAGCAATCAATACCCAGCAAAAGTTAGAATCAATGGAGACCTGATGAAAGAAATACAAATACAGAAAGGTACAAGACAGGGGTGCCCACTCTCTCCATTACTTTTCATTCTTATACTCTAGAAATAATAACTGAGCAAATTAGAGATAAAAAGGAAATAAAAGGACTGAAAGGAAGAGGTCATACTTTTAAGTTCCAAGCTTTTGCAGATGATCTAGTAACTATAATGGAGAAGCCAATGGACTCAATTGAACACCTGATGGAGATGCTGATGAATTTTGGTGATATGGCAGGAATGAAAATAAACCCAAATAAAACAAAAATACTTGTTAAAAATATGAAAGATCAAGAACAACAGAAATTAACAGAAAGGACTAACTTTCAAGAAGAGAAGAGAATCAGATACTTAGGGATCCAAATCACAAAGAAAACTAGTACTATTCAGACAATTATATGAAGTTGATTAAAGAGCTACATATTAGCTTGGAGAGATGGGACAGATTACAACTATTGTTGATGGGAAGAATTGTTATTGTTTAGTCATTAAGTCGTATCCGACGCTTTGTGACCCCATGGACCAGAGCACGCCAGGCCGTCCTGTCTTTCACTGCCTCCTGGAGGTGGGCCAAATTCATGTTGGTAGCTTTGATGACACTGTCCATCCATCTCGTCCTCTGTCGTCCCCTTCTCCTCTTGCCCTCACACTTTCCCAACATCAGGGTCTTTTCCAGGGAGCCTTCTCTTCTTAGCAGATGGCCAAGTATTGGAGCCTCAGCTTCAGGATCTGTCCTTCCAGTGAGCACTCAGGGCTGATTTCTTTCAAAATGGATAGGTTTGTTCTCTTTGCAGTCCAGGGGACTCTCAAGAGCCTCCTCCAGCACCACAATTCAAAAGCATCAATTCTTGGGAAGAATAGCAACCATCAAAATGATTGTTCTACCTAAAATTTTATTTTTATTTCAGACAATTCCCATAATATTAAAACAGTCATTTTTTCAAGAACTTAACAAGATAATCATGGTATTTGTGTAGCAAGGTAAAAAATCAAGAATTAAAATCAAAACAATGCAAGATGCTAAAAAAAGAGCAGGTTTTGGTCTCCTGGATTGGGTATTGTATTATAGAGCCTGTGTATTAGTTTGGATAAAGGAATGGATAACTTTAGATAACGATAGACTATTCAAGTTGGAAGGACATGATTTGCAGTTAGGTTGGCATGCTTTTCTATGGTACAAAAAAGATAAAGACCAGAAAAGTTTCAACTCGCATAGGATAAGAAGAGCCCTACTAGGAACTTGGAAAAAGATCATTCAGCATATTTACCAAAAAAACACCAGGCTGGGTATCACCCATAGAGGTCTTTACACAACCTAACCTCATGACAGAAGTGAAACTTTTAAGATATCAAGATCTATTAAAAATGATTGTGAGTTAAGGTCCAAAGGAGAGTTAGAAACACAAAAAATATATCTAGACTGGTGGTACAGAGCACAAGTGGAATCTAGGTATAGAAAAGATAAAATAGAGGGCTTTTACACAGAGCAAACAATATTCTGTAAACTTCTGCTGGGTTCAAATGATAAAGTAATTAAGAAAAGGTATGATTATTTGCTTCAAATTAAAATGCAAGATGAGATGGTAAAAGAATGTATGATTAGGCAGGAACAAAATAAAGGATATAATATTGATATTAATGGTTGCAAATATGGAAAAATAATATAAAGCTCACAAAATCAGTAAATTTCAAGAACATATATAAGGTGTTTTATAGGTGGCATATGACTATGAAAAAAATGTCAAAGATTCATACAGAGGTGTCAAATGTTTGTTGGAAGTGTGAAGCACAAGAGGGAATCTTTTACCATATGTGGTGGACTTGTGGAGTAACGAAACAGTATTGGATAGCAGTAAATACTCTGTTACAAAAAATACTGCATGCAGGCAAAGACCTTTCTCTTCAAGCAAGCTTTCCCTTACAGACTGGCAGACTGAGGATTTTTTGAATGGATTGTTGCGCCTTGTTGCTTTGAATGTGTTTTGGTGTTGATTTTGTTTACAATATTGAATGTGGTATTGGTTTGACCTTTTACAATATTTGCATATTTACTGTTTTTAGCTTTTAAATACTGTTTTTTAAAATTATATAAACGACCTTGAGTTCTTATTACAGAGAAAGGTAGGGTAAAATATTGTACATAAATTA